CCCAGGATTGTGCACTTGATATTGTATTGTTTAACAAACTGCTCCGGGTGGTGATGTTTTCATTAGTAATTACTACACTTTGCTAAACCATTGAGAACACACTTTTTAGTGGATTTGCTTTCTCCTAAAAAAATTGGCAGGATTATTTTTGGAGTCATTGAGGCTGATTCCAGATCACATTTCACAATGGCTAATGATGATGATGATTTCACCTTTTGTCATGTGAGTTCTTTGAGTTTATCCTAAAATGGATTTTAGACATTAACTTATTACGTAAACATTTCTCATTATCTCAATGTGAAATGTCAGATGACAAATTGGATTCTCTCTCTTTCATTCTCTGCCACCCCTTTCATTAATCAACAGGGTTCTTCTTATGGTAGGTTGTTGTTCATAATGACCAAGAGGGCACTGGAGCGGAAAAAGTTGTTCAAGATGTAAGTGGAATCAGAATAAATGATGATTCATCAAATCATGTTGCTTCTAGCGAGAATACTAGTGCCACTGGGCATGAAAAGTCGTGCCATAATGCTAACTTAAAGAAACAAGAGACTGGTTGCTCTTTGTCTATTAACACTATAGACACTTCAGAAAAACAAGTGAGTGAAAGTTCCAATCCAGGAGCATCAGAAGGCACTAAGACTTCACTTAAGGCTTTACAGGACCCAATAAATTATGCAAGAAAGCCTGCTCCTCGAGCCAAGGTACCCTTTGAGAAAGGGTATAGCCAGATGGACTGGCTTAGGCTTACAGCGACGCATCCTGACCTTGCTGGTAGGATTCTTCAATAAATATATTTCATTCAATGCACAGTGATTTTTCATACTTTCTTTCATTCTTCTGGAATACAAACGAGTGCACTTCCTTGCATTAATGTGAGCGAAAATATCTTGTATGCGTGTTTTTTATTTCCATATTATATAATGAACAATTTTTATTGTATAATTGCAAATTTGGCAATGTGATGAACCATCTTTAGCAAAGAGCAGACCCTTTCTTATTCTAAATGGTCGGTCAATGATTTTTCATAGATACTTTCATTCTTCTGGAATACATAGGATTGCAATTCCTTGCTTTAATGTGAGCGGAAATATGTCTATGCCTGTTTTTTATTTCCATGTTTTATTATGAACAGTGTTTATTTTATAATTGCGCATTTAGCAATGTGATGAACCATCATCAGCAAAGATCAGACCCTTTCTTATTCTAAAAGGTCAGTCATATGGGTTTTTTTACAGTCAGAGATCTGTGGGGTTATCTTACGAGAAATAGAATGATAAGAACATTAGTCCCTTAATATGTACTACGTAGTTGTTTGTCGCAAAGTTTTCTTCCCAACACTTGCTTATTCAGAAAGTGAAATTGTATGGTTGAGGTTGGTGTTAAAAAGGAGAGAAACAATATCGAATGAACAAAGTTTTGGGACATCATAAAAAGTAAAGTGGGAAGCAAATTGTGGGATAGACAGATTATCCATCTAGGTTGACCGCATTTACCCGTTCCTGTTTTCCCATCCATTTATACTGTATATGCAGATTAAATCTCCCTTTCCCTCTTTACCCTACTTATACTATTCAACTTTATCATTTTCTAAGAAGAGCATATAGACATAAAATGGAACGTAGATTTTAATGTGGGCTTTTAGGTCAAGTACTAAATGTTTTAGTTAGCTTATCATTCAAATACTTTTCCTTGAACTGTGTGATTTGGTCAACATAGACTGACAAATAGGAACAAAGGGTTTGAAATATTTTTATAACAATCAATTATTGTTTAACTATGGTTTGATTCTCAAGTGATTGTTTTTTGGCTCATGTAGCCAACCCTAGTGATTTGGGGCTAAGGCTTGGTTGTTGTTTTTGTTGTTGCATGAATATGGTATTCTTTTGAATATTAGCCCCTTAATTTTTAGATTTATAGATTAACAATTTCTAAATGTCTATGGCCTTGGTAATTTGGTTTTCAAGGATGCGTGACCTCTGGTGCTTGTGTTGTAAACCTATTATGTCCTCAGGAATAAGGGGGGAGTCAAATCAAAGACTCATAACTATAAATGAAGTTAAGCAGCACCAAGGTGAGGGTTCAATGTGGACCGTTCTGAAAGGCCGTGTCTACAATATTTCACCATACATGAAATTTCACCCTGGAGGTATGCATCTTTCTAGTTTTGCCAATGTTGTAGGCTTGTAGCAGTTACAGAAGCAACTTCCTTTCATTTACAAATTTCTGCTGCCACCTGCTGCAAATTTTTTCGTGGGTAGATGGATAGTTTTCTCATTAACATAGGTGTCCTGAATCCTGATAACTTCAGCGGATTGCTATCATTAGAATTGGTACCACACAAAAGAAGTTTTCTTATTCTGGTATTCAAAACATGTCCTATGCTTGCTCTGAGTATGCTGTATTAATAGTCTACTATTCTTGAGGTTTGACATCAATACCCATAGCCACAGGTGAAACAATTGTATGTTACACCGATGAAGAGCCCTGCAGTCATTTTTTGTTACATTTAGCCCAAATGTGAAGATTACCTTGGTTCCTTTTTGTATTTTACCTCAGAAAGAAAAAAGAGCCTGAAAGTTAGAGTTGCTTTCCGGGTGAAACCATGAGTTAGTTAGTTGGTTGGCCGAAATGTTACTTGTTGGCTCACATTGAACTTTCCAGTGGTTATCACTGCAACAAGCACATGATGTACAATAAGTACCTTTGTTATGATCAGATCACAGGCTTCACTTATTCCAAATTTCCTTTTAAGATTTTCTGATATAGACCAAAGTGTGCATAGATCTGGCCAAGAAACTGCCTAAGTAGTTTACCACTAAATCACTTTTTTGCACTCAATACAGAATTGTAGAGACCATATAATTTCTAAAATTTCTGTCGTTCTGACATGTACATGAATGAATGTTCGTTTTTTCTATGAAATTCAGCAAGAACTTTGTAGCGTATTTCATAGTTCCAGTTTTGCATTTTGTTCCTTAAAGTTTCAGCACTGGGAAACCTGTTAGTTTTTTATAGGGTTACCATTTAGCAATGTTTAATAACACTGAGTTGATATTTGATTCCCCTGTAATGTTGTATGTCAGGTGTTGACATGCTGATGAAAGCAGTTGGCAAAGATTGCACAGCTTTATTCAGTATCCTGCTATATCTCCGTGCAATATTAGAATATCTTTACCTGATATGTTATTAGTTAAATCAGCACTAAGAAGAGCTTTTTTGTTTTGATCACATTACATTAACACCATGGATTAGTAAAAAATGACAAAAGGGTTTGAAATTAATGACATAAAAAATGATTTCTACATCCCCCGATTTTTTTTAAATGATCTAAATACCATAGTGTTGCTTGGGAGTAGTACTATTTATTGTATTTAGTCTATAGTTGTTGACTGCTTTGGTTTCTACTTCACGTGAAAATAGACCTGTAAGCTTAAAAAACACATGATTTAGTCACATCTGTACTTTGAGATGATTTGTGATATTTGGTTAGCATAAGCGTTAAAGTTTGGATTGAGCCTTGTACTCACTTAAAGCTTTATAGCTATCTACTTAAATGCCTTCCGTTTTTTTCTGAAAGTAATTTACCTTAAAAGGGAAACGGACTACTGAGCTTCTGAACCTATATAACTACTTCATTGATTGTAATAGTGGGGTATGTGAATGCCAAGTAGAGGTATGTATAAATTGCAAATATTCACATTACTATTCCATGCTCTCTGACAGTTGTGATCCTTACTACAACTTTTAGATAAATACCATGCCTGGGTTAATGCAGAATTTTTATTGGAGAAGTGTCTTGTCGGTATTTTAGATGAGAGCCAGTGAAGATTTTTGTTTCTATGCTCTGTGATTCAAGAATGGTTATCTGCAGAAAGTAGAACCATGTTCAGTATACGGGCGCGCTTAGGAACACATTGGAATAAAGGTCTTAAAAATTGTTTGCCTCATCTGCTGTGGGAATAACACATTGGCTGAAAGATTTCCTATCTGGTTTTAAGATACAAGCCCTTACACTGGGAATGCTGCTAGCTACTTTTTTGTACTATAACAGACTAATTGGGTGTGTGTGTGACAGAAATCAACAGTTGACCTTGTGGATGTATGGACGTATGGTACAACTATACTATAGCTGCTCTTGGATCATTCTATCATAAGTATATCATTTCATGATTTTTTTGGCCTGAGTTAACTTTTGTATTGGTGTTATTTTCGGTGCACTGGTGTACTGCATGATTTCCATCATTTGCAATGGAGCCAAAGATTCATTATTTTTTGGCTTGAGAATATGATGGAATAAAGCAAAATGGCTCACTAAACTGTCTGTTGTTTCTTTGTTATGAAGCAGCGGTCAGTCCATGCAATTTTGGACGCGATTTTCACTATGGGTCATCCGGAAACAGTCTCTCTGTGCTTTAGTACAGAGGTAAGACTGCGTACATCCGACCCCCCCTTACCCCACCGTAGGTGGGAGCCTTTGCAGCACTGGGGTAAATGAAAATGAAAATGAATGAAATGGTGTACTGCATACTCTTATTTGTGTCAAGCTAATGTGGTTAGAGGATATAATAGTACCTGATAAGAATTGCAGAATAGGAAATGTTTCAAGGACACAAGTTAAATTTACAATATATGTAAGTTATTCTGCAATGAGGTAAGATTGTGTATGACTTCATATGCTACTGTCAAGGGAATGCGATATTGTTTGTGTTGGGTTCATGGAATCCTGATGCATTAGTAAACTGTAAAAGCATCTGAATATTCGTATCTAGTTGTTTATATAGATATATTTATTTATTTATTTATTTATTTATTTATTTATTTATTTATTTATAATAGTTATATTGTAGGATATTATATCCAGTCAAACCTTGTGCTATTAAGATATATCTCCCCTGAATGTTGGATAATGAAGTTCTGATTGATTACTTGCATATTTTGTAAATGTATTGCTTTTGATTTCAGGCAACCTAAGTTGTTAGTTTGTGCAAAACCAGATCTGCAACCTGTACTTCATAGTATTCAGTCCTCAAAGCGATGTGTAAATGAAAAGTTTTCAAGTTCAAACATTCTTATAACCATCACAAACTAGTATTGTAGTTTTGATGATGATATATTTAGATCTATGCAACAGGGGGGACTTGGACTTCATCAATAACTGGACCACAGAGACCTCCAGATTTATCCACCCGAGTATGGTAGAAGGAGCTGAAGAATGTTAACCTTGTCCTGATGCCAAATGCTATAAACTGAAAGCTTACGGTCTTGAAGTTTCCCTTTCCTGCAGATGTAAATGGAACTTTGAAGGCATGCTTTCCTGCATATGCTTCAACCATCATATCTCCAAGGCAACCGTTACCTGCATCTCCAACACTGAAGGTAAGTGTGTACTTCTTTTTTGGGACTGTTGGGATGATTTGCGCGATAGCACTCTCTCTCCCTGCTACCAATTCTATGGCTGCCTGACCTGAGGGGACATGGAAGTGAGCTCTATCGATATACTTGACCGCTTTTAGCGATTCAATGATCCATCCTGGAAGTGGGGATTCCAAATCTTCTTGCTTGGGAGGTAGTATGATCCCATCTGAAGCATATATTAAGTTATGGTGAGGGCCCTCCTCAAAACCACTGTTTTTGACCAAGTTATCTGCAAGATATCCACATAAATGATCAGAATTTTTATTCAAGCAATGTTGTAAAAAGCGCTAGGCAGGACTGGACTGGATATAAATTGGTCACACAAAGGCACCCCAAGGACAACTTAGGAATTAGGATTAGTTTGGGTGGGCGTCTTTGGAGGGGAGGGGCATGGATGGCTATTTCCATATCTGAATGAGATTGTTCCTATGTGCAGCACGCCCATTGGGTGATTATCCCAGGTCTAATTTTTAGTCGTCACCCAATGAATGTTGTCACACAGTAATGTCACAAGGTGTCCAAATACAGTTTTGCCTTACATTACTCAGATCTTATTATATATTTGAGAATTTAACAACGCAAACTGACCCTTAGTCGGTGTGTGTGTGGGGGGGGGGGGCATCGGGAAAACGGTGACTAAGGGACGAAGAAATAGTTGAAAAGAGAGCAGTACTTGTAGTGAGCAGGGGAGGCAAAAGTTCCTTGATAGCAACAGTATTGATAAGCGGTCCACAAGCAGGATCTTCTTGCATTCCAGGATTGTGTAAGGTCACCTTGGCAAAGTCAGAAGTTGCTCTGAAGGCCCAAGCATAAACATCACTGCCATTGGTACTATACAGACTCTTCATATGAATGTCCCCTAATGCAGGTGGCACAGACACCCTCAGCACCTCTTCTTGCACACAGCTTCTTGACGCTGCAAATGTAAGTGCATACATAGTTCCTTTCTTCACATGGATTTTCTGAGAAATCGATGCCTCATGCCCAAGCCTAATAGCATGGACGCCGTTCAAAGCTAGAAAGTACTTCCCGCCCGAGATGTACTCCACAGGACCAGAGGTTTCCCACTTTGGTTGAAAACCTATACATTTTTTAAATTTTTTAGTGGGGGAGACTGTAGATGAGAGATTAAAGTATGATGCATTCCTTACCTTTAAGAGTATCTTCTCTAAGAGCAGAGGCCGTGAAGAGTAAAGATAAAATGAGCGCAAGATAAACCATCTCTGCCAACCTATTGCTGCAGTAGGGCTTCATTCTATTTCCACATTTATAATTCTTTAGGGAGAACTGGAGAAGAGAGAGATAGAAAGATTGAGAAAGCGGAAGGAAACAAGAACATAATGAACCACCCTGGCTCTTCCATTATTTGTTTTTTGTTTGTCTGCAAATAGTTCCTTGTTATCTTATCTGGAAAACCGACCACCTTTTCTGTATAATCCATTCTACACCATTTCCATCTCAAGTCCATTATTTACTTGGAACAGCCGGTGATTGGCTGTTGATAATATATTAATATATGTTTGTGTAAATACATCTTAATAAATAAAGTATATTAATGAGGATGAGTCTTGCTCCGAAAACTCTTGTGGGTACCTTGATTATTTACCTGAAAACTGGTGAGAGACGTATTAATATTATAAATACATTTCACAATTTTGATAGTTGTGAAAAAAACAAGTTTTCCTCAGCCGGCCGTCCTAGTGGACAATCAGACGCACTCTTACGGGCAGATATGGAAATATGAGAGGTGAACGTTTCTTGCGGGTGGTGCCTGCTCCGCCGTCCGCCCTGCCTGCAGATTTTTTTTTTAGACTTTGTCCGAGCACGTTTTTGTATGTGTAATTTTGAGGCGAAACTAGGCCCTTCTAAGCATTAATTTTAGATTCACTTCGTTTATTTTTACTTTATGAGTTATGACGAGCAAGAACTTATGTTTAGAAACAATATACTATCTATATGCTTATTTCAAAAAACCTCTGAAATATCCAATAACTCATTTTTAGAGAAAGAGAACATTGAGATAAAAAGTTTTAGAGGGTTAAATTCACTTAATAAATATATTTAACGCAGTGACCTAGCTTAACCCCAAACAAATTTTATTGTTTTCACTTGTGTTTACCCAACAATAATTTTATATTTTTATATATGCACCTACGTTCAATTCAATTCATCCAATTTAATATTTATCTTAAATTCATCATATCTAATTAAATTTACATTTTTTCAAATTTACTTTGGCCTTGTTTGGCAAACGGTTGTTAGGATGTTTTTACTTGCATTGAAATTTACTGATATGGTCTGAATTGGTTTGGTATGGTATGTTTTGGTAGATGTCCATGTCTGATCTGGTCTAGTTTGGACTGAAACAGTCCAAGTAAAGACATCTATAGCTATTCATCCTATCTAATATTTATCTGAAATTCATCGGTTCTAATTAAATTCACTTTACCCAAATTCACTTTGACATTGTTTGGCAATCGGTTGTTAGCTGGTTGTGTTAGCGATTTCTTAACAGCTGATTGTGTTATCTGTTGTGACTAGGCAGACTAGCTGGTTGCCTGGTTATGTCAGCTGATTGTAAATAATTATTTGATAAAATTGGTTGTTCCAAAATGGTTGATAAAGTGTAAAAACATATAAGTGCATGAAAGTACTTATTGTATTTATTATGAATAATGAACATGTTATAACTATAACTAATGTTACTTCACAGGTACAAATCATTCATATACTTGGAAAATGTTCTAATACTCAATCATCTAGGGTGTGTTTGGCACAACTAGCTGAAAAGATACTTGTGTGGACTTTTTAATAATTATTAGCTTTTAGTAACTGAAAAAGATCTTAAAAATAAAAAGTGGCAGCTGTTTCGTAAAAAACTGACTGTTTGATTTAGTTTGGTTTGGTATACAAGTTGTTAGGACTACTTAATACTAAAAGTCATGAGCTTTTTTCAGATGTCACTCCCTGTAGCATCTCAAAAAGAGCTTTTAATTTTTGAGAATCTCTTAAAAATTGTCATGCCAAACATATAACTAGAAGTTTTTAGAGACTTTTTGAACAGTACAAAAGCTAAAAGTCACAGACTTATGCCGGCCAAACATAGCCTAAACCTGTAACATTAAATTAATTCAAGATAGAAGGCATAATTAATAATATAAATATTCGTTAAGCATATGTTATATCATTTGTTTGAATAGTGATAGGTTAAACAAGTTTGGTAAAATTAGTTGTTGGAAAAACTAATCACAAATTATACATGATCATAAATAGAATACTTCTATGTATATTACTGTATGTAGTAAAATATATGAGTTTTTTTCGAATTAATGCTAATTAATTACGAAAATAATGTTGGGTTAAAAGTATTTACCGATCTACTGCTGGGGTTAACCATGGTCAGGCAAAGTCACCAAACGGTTGGGCGACATATAATTCGCCATCTGGTTTGACGAATTATAATAAGTCACCCAACCGTTTGGCAACTTTGCCTTGAAGGCTGTCGAAGGAACCAGCTACTGGAAGCCAGACACGATCGTGCATGGCAGGGAGGCACGATCGTGCCTGGAGGCGGAATACCCCTTGCATATGCAAAAACCAGTAAATTAAAACCAGATACAACACATTACAAAACATACAATACACTTGCTCACCAACACATACATAACACCTGCTCTCAACAACATACAAAACACCACATACATTTTCCCGATACAAATAAGATACAAAACAGTAGATTCATAACCAGTAAAACACGGTACAATCATCCAATATTCTTAACACAGTACAGTCATCAAATATTCATAACCAAACACATCAACACATCATAAAAGAGTTTACAGGCGGAAATACGTAAAATAAAGTCAATTGTTCCTACAACATCCAGTGCACAAGAAAAACTCCAATACAAAAGACAAACTATAAGTTCTCATGGTCTTCTTGATCGTCTTGGTCATGGAGATGTTGATGTTGCTGCCTACGACTACGCCGCTGTCGTGGTTGAAGAACCACTCTCTCATGCTGAGTCTGGGATGATGAAGCCGCCGCTGCACTAGATATCGATGGCATATCCTGAGATGGGGGCATATGTATAAGATGAACGTAGTCGACTCGCCCCAACACATCTGAACACAACGAGGCAATGCCCGTCAAAGCCTGACCGTACATGTCCACGTCATGTGTATCACACACTGTGGCAGTAGCCCGCTGATGTATACGCTGCAAAGTTCGTGTCTGAAATATGAATCACAATTACAATTAGTTAGAAATAAATAAAAGTGTTACATAAAGAAAATGACTTACTTTAGTAATTAGTAATATACTCACCGTCAGATGCAAAGCCATGCCTACAAAAAAGGATATTAGTTAATTTTTACTATTTATTTACTTAATTTTTTAATTAATATTTTATTAATTATTTTTTTCATGCCACGTTAGTATCAATTGTGGATTATTATGATTAAAACCTCACCCAATGGACCCCCCTCCATCTCTTGATGATCTCTTCGCACATGTGGCCCTATTATGGCCTGGTTGTTTACATTTTCCACATCTAACCGTTCTTCGGGGACCTTCATCCATCTCATTCTTAATACGTGTGAACTTAGGTATTCCCTTAGCCCGAAGCATGGATGGATCGTGCATAATTTCAGGTCCACCAAACTTCTTTTTCTGATGTTGCCGTGCGGTCCAGACAAACAATTTTTTTAGGTGAGTGTCTTTGAAATGAGTGTGCACATTTGATGCAAGATGGCGAATACATAGCCTATGGTGCGCATAAGGCTCCTCCCAAGTACTGCCCACCTCATTCATTGCCTTGACTATACCTACATGTCGATTAGAAATGACACACAACTCCCTATCAGTGACAAACTCTCTAATGCATGACATAAACCATGGCCAACTTTCCCCATTCTCAGATTCAACAACTGCAAAGGCCACGGGAAATATTTGGTTGTTCGCATCACTACCCATAGCCATGAGCAATGTACCCTTGTACTTCCCATACAAGTGTGTGTCATCAATAGTAAGTACGTGTCGACAATGCTTAAAACCATGTATTGAAGGCTTGAATGCCCAAAATACTCTCTGAAACTGCATATAACCTGTAGGAGTAATAGGGGGTGGGTACCAGTGAACAACAGCTCCAGAATTGGACTATTGGAGCGCTGTCATGAAATGGGGCAATTCAGAATATGACTTCTCCCAACCGCCAAATATTTCTGCAATGGCCTTTTGCTTGACCATCCATGTTCTCCTGTATGATACCGCATACCCATATTTTTCCTTCAGCATCTCAACGATAGTATGCACTTTAAGGGAAGGATCACTGCGAAGAATGTCAATCACATCTTTAGCAATGAAATCTGATGTCATCACCACGTGATCAGCACTGTCGGTGTTGCCAACACAGGTAGCAGAATGAGGTCCAGAATAACACACAACTATGAAGCTGTCGAGGTTGCCTTTGTTCTTTGTGGCGTGTATTCTCCAAGGGCAATCACGTTCTTTCTTCCTCTTGCACTCTGCCACCCATTTGGGTTTATCGGACTCCAACACCCGATAAAATTGGTTCCATTTGATAGAATACAAGCTCACCATATTGATGACTTATTCTGTAATTTGTTTTCAAACTGTTGGCCGACCTCAAACTCACCTGAGGTGTAAACCTTTTCATACCTGATCCACTCATCCACGCATCAGTAAAGCCTTCGGGGAGATCATATATTCTAGTAAAGTGGTTAGACGGGGCAGTTTCCGTGACAGTATCACCATCATCTTCATCAGATTTTGTCATGTCATCACCATTGATGTTCTCATCAGCATCATCATCACTTCCCTGCCCATCCACAAATGATGCACCATTGTGCAAATACCTACCATCTTCCTCTATAACCATGTCCAGTACAACAGCAATTGATGAGTTCCCTCCATTGACACCTGTATTGACACTATGCCTAGATACAACACCATTTGATGTTGATGGAGTAACAGAAGCGTCACATATGGATTCCTCAATGTATATCTCCAGCGTGGACATATCCTCCATCTGAATTATGCACCACATATTTGATACAACTAGCTCATCAAAAAGCGGCATAAGCATGTAATTTCCCCCATTCATGGGAAATTTCATTTTCAATCGCAAAGAACGGTTCAGAGGAATCATTGTAGTTGCATGGATTTTTTGCAGCATCTCGAGCAAGCATGCGCCACGAGAAACAATGACAAAGCTACTTCTACCACATTCATGGCGTATTT